TTTGTCCACGGTGAAAGTTGATGTATTCCCTCAGCGACCAGCACAGATCAGCTCTAGGCGTGACGAAGCAGATATCGTCCTCTTTTGGAAGACCAAACAAAGTAGTTTCGCTTTCACAATGAAGCACACAGTGTCTTCACGACATGGCTGCAGCGTAACCAATACTACAGTGAGAATAAAAGTTACACCTTCTTTCTTTGTGTGAACATTTGGGCGGCGTTATGCAAATCTTCCCACATAGTGAGGTAGATATGTGGGGGCGTGTTAGAACGAGGCGTTTTAGGTAGGTGTGGCTGACTCTGAACTTTTATAAAGAATATCTCTTTGGATTTGAGACTTTAGTCTTTGCAACTTTACAGATCTTCTTTATGCACGAAGAGCTTGTAACACTCCAAAGAGAAAGGAAAAATTGAAATGGCATCATATGACCCCTTTAAATGTAGCCATTTCAAGCTTTCTATACATATATTTATCATGTCTGTGAGGCAAGTATTCACTGAGATTCAGGTTGTTTTATTTAGAAAGCTTACAGAGACTGAGATGGCGGAGAGCGCACCATGTTTTGTTTTCTTTATTTTACAAAATCACATTTTGTCGTTATTATGACTATACACAAGTAAAAGTAGACCCTTTACAGTTTCAAACTATACCTTATTCTTATCTGTATGATCAAAAATGACAGATTATATTTAGTTATTTTCGTGGTCATCAAGAAAAACATGACAGAGGGTTAAGAGCATACTGAAAGCACTATAGTATAGTATGCTCTAAAACACAGGTGTCAAACTCAGTTCCGGAAGGGCCACAGCCCTGCAGAGTTTAGCTTCCACCCTAATTAAACACACCTGATCCAGCTAAAATAAGTCCTTCAGACTTATTTAAAAAATTAAATGGTTTGTGTGTTGAAGCAGGGTAGGAACTAAACTCTGCAGGGCTACGACCCTCCAGAAACTGAGTTTGACACCTCTGCTCTAAAACTATCACTAACTGTATAATCTGCATTATTAGCTGTGTCTCATTTAGAAGGCTGCGTCCTCCGGAGGTCGCATTCGAAGTCTGCATACGTCATCGAGGCTGTCTCATTTCAGAAAAGCAAGTAGGACACTCCGAATGCGACCTTCGAATGCGACCTTCTTTCACAGGAATTCGGAGGATGCATGAGGTGTATCCTTCGCTGCTACAGATAACCCACAATTCTTTGCGGCAGACGTAACGTACACACAAGCGCAGATGTGGTGTTTACAACTTACCTTAATTCGCCTCGGTCAAAACGGATAAACTTTGTTTTTAATAACCTCCTCCTTTTTTCTCTAATAGATGCCTGCTGTATGTATGCTGCAGCTCCTCAAACATTGAACAAAATAAAACAAGTAAAACCATTTTTTTTTAATTACTTTCCAAATTTAGAAATAATTTTCCTTCATTTAAGTAGTGTGAGAGCGCAGCGATGCTCTAAATGTGTTGGCATAGCAACGTGATACTTCTAGTTTCCTTTTCCGCCCGTACTACGAAGGCCGTCTCGTTTAATTCTAGGTTGAGGACACTTCGTATATGCATCCTACAGAGGATGCGACCTCCAGAGGATTCGACCTCCGGAGGGTGCAGCCTTCTAAATGAGACACAGCTATTGACACACCTAGGTGCAATTTGGGTATTTTGCTGAATTGCTTCCTGTGAAACAACTGGGTGTCATGAAACAAACATTTTGATAATGAATAAAAGCACTGAAGCCAAATTGAATGCGTTTGTTTTGATGTCTCCGTATGTATGGTAACAGAGGGTATGAAGAGTTTAGTCAAGCAGCACAGAAAAGCAGTGCAATGTTTTAAAGGTTTTTACAACAAATATGTCATCAAACAATGCTGGGTTGAAAGAGCAATGAGTTTAAATTTTAGTAAATTTACCCAACTCTCTACCTGTAGTTTTGTTTCTCACTACCAAGGTAAAACTTTTCATATTGGGAGAAGGCCAGTTTGCCATCCCAGTCCGTCAGCTCCAGTCTAAGAGTGCACTGCCTCTGATTGGTCAATTTGTACACCAGCTCATTTCCCAACCAGTGTTCTTCAGTCAGACTCCCAAAGCCCTGAAATACACAAACACACACATTTGTGTTACACTTTATATTAAGTAAACAATTCCTTTGTTCCAAATGGATTTACCATGTATTTACTCTGATGTTACACAGCAGGGGCCAGTAAGTTAGGCTTTACATATAAATTGTGGTTGGTGTCCAGAATGTTACACTTTATATTAAGTGGACAGTTCCTGAGGAGTTACCATGTAAGTACACTGGTATTACAGTGGTGCACCAACTTGAGATCCAACTCCTCCCACTTTACATATCCCTAAACCTACCCATTTCCACCCCCTGGATCCCATTTCCACCCCTAAACCTACCCATCGGCACCCCCTGGATCAAATTGTTCCAATTACTCTTATTCATATTGTTGTTACAAAATGTAGTTATATATGTCCTGTTACACATTTGTACTTACACAAACCAAATATTACAGCTCTAGATATTATGTACCAATGGGTACTTACACTGTGGTTGTATACTACGCACACATCTAGTTACTATGTAAGTACACAGGTATTAGGGCCACTTAATATAAAGTGGGACCTGTCTAAAGTGGATTATCATCATAAAGTGTTACCATATTTTCCTAAATCTAATGCACACAAAATCCTGAATTTTTACATTTTCATTAGGAAGCTATTTGTTACATTGCCTAGTTCAACCTTCAATCAAGTGCCTAGTGTGAGAATTTAAAACAATAATTTACTTGAAAATTTAACCAGAAAACTAGGGACAATCGAAATCATATTTAGAAGACCAGGCAAGGTTTACAACAGATATGTTATAAAAAGCTACGAGTCCAAACATTGCAGGCGAGTACAATGCTACCTGTCCAACAATATCCATTTTATTAATTTGTTCACTCATTTTAATTTAGTTCAACTGTGGCCAAGATTTAACTAAAATGAGGGGAGAAATTAATAAAAATCTTCTATTTCACTACTCAGCTGTCACAACCGGGACAAAGAGGCAGACAGGCAGGGGTAACGTAAGTCAGAGAGTTTAATAACAGGAACTTAGGAGAGGCTTCCAACGGAAAAGAGTTCAACATAGGCAGTAAGGGAAGCGAAAACACAGTCTTATCTGGGTCGGCACTCCGGTCCTCCGGCCGAGAACTGAGGATTCCGAGGGGGACAGGCAGATTGGGAGGCGAGGAACCAGGACAGAGAAGCTTTTCCCTCTCTCTCACTAACATGTCATGTGATGGACAATTTTTTTCCCCAATGTAATTCTTAGAATAAAATAAATAAAAATAAATAAATGTAGTTGGTGTTTGACAAAAGTCTCCATAACTTTTTTTTTTTTTTTCATAAATACTTAATAGGATTTGTTTTGGGACAGCTGCACTGTATCGTGGAGATATTACCCATAACAAGATCAGAATAGTGAGAGCTGGCTTGTCCATACTTCAGGCAAATCATGTCCTCTAGATGAACCAAATCAAGATGGCAGCTGCTATGTGCCTCTTTCCGTGTGCCAGGCCAGTCACTTCTGGGAGTTATGCCAGGCCTCATTCAGCACTAAGTACAAACCAAACCAGTGAGTTGTCCTTTCAATATCCTTTGTACATGATGCAGTGTGAGATTCATTCGTCATAACAGAACTTTGTGAGATCACGATGAACTAAGAGTGACAGTTTTTAGTGGTTAAAAAAATGGCACCATTTAAAATGTAGCCTAGAACTTTGTTTTTCGGCCACACACACTTTGCAAAGTTTCGGGAATGACGTCAGTACAATAAATTTTATTCATTTACTGGAGAAGGCTGACTATAATCAGCTTGCTTCCATTTAATGAGATAACCCTACTCCTCACCTGAATTAGAAAAAAAGCGTGTCGTCTTCAATGATGCGAAGACAACGTTTGAGCGTGTACACGCAATATCTGAGCGAGAGCAGAGCCAATTCACAAAAGAACAATATTTAAAAGCACACGTCCAGTTTTGTGTGAGTGAAGGAAATCCGCTTGGGAGTGGAGAGATTTGTCCTCGCGCACATGGATCGCGTTACATTATGCGCTCTCGACATTGTCATTTAGATCACACTATAGAAACCGCCTAAATTAAGTATAAAGAAGAGAAGAAAGCGGCCCTAGGCAGCTGCCTACACATGCCAGGATCCGCCACTGCCAGATGCAGTTAGAAATTTACTAAAAACAAGCCTATCGCAAGACATCTGGTAGAGGGGGCACCTGGGGTGGCCAGTCAAATTTCAGGAGGGCCGGTGCCACCCCTGGCCACCACGTAGACACGCCCTTGACCGAAACCACCTCTACAGCTGGGTCTCGGTACAGTTGTTTGGTGCGCACCCGAGTGCGACTGCTGTATTCACACCTGGCCAAAAGATCCACACCAAGGGGGGAAACGAACTTGAGTTTGATTCAATCGAACCAAACAAGACAGGTGTGAATACACCCTAAGATTATTGTAGAGGTCCTGAACTTTATATTTGGCGACAGGCTTCGCTCCGAAACCTCAAACCTCACTGAGACAAATTTAGCAATGAACTGGATAGATGATATATCTCTGTGGGTAAGCAGTTAGTGATCATGTATTTGCATTAGGAGGAGTTGGGGATGGAGGAGGGTAAGACTCTGTGCGACAGACTATGGCAAGTGTGAGTACGGATGAGCTTATATATCTTATTAATTGTAGTGGGAGGAGTTACGATCAGCTGAGCGTCAGCTGATGCTGCAGGCACACCATGGTCTGCCTGAAATACGCTTGAGCTCCATTCGTCACTCAAACTAGATTTCAGTCAGAAGATTAATAAACCTAGCTGGGGTCCAATGACATTTATTATCTTATTTGTTTCACTCCATAAGACTTACCATCTTATACTCCTTCCAGGTTCTGTGGAAGTCTAATGTTCCATCTTTCCTCAACTGTATGATGGTCCAGCCCCCACCAGCACTTTCCATGTTGCAATAAACCTAGTGGGAGGAGATACAACAGGATAAGACAAAGGCTTATGGCATTTATGCTCCTTAAATTCAAGGGTTTTATTCATAATTTAGAACAGTTCTTAAAAAGCTGAGCATATAGTGTTGGTTTTAAGGACAATTGTACTTGAGTGGAAAATTATCGTTTGTGCACTTACAATGTAAGCAAAAAAAAAGAGTTACTCTTATGATTTCTGATGATTTACTTTATCAGGAAGTACATTTAAAGTTGTTGAATTACTGCAAATTGAAATGACTACTTCAAAGTTCTGGAGTGCGGCATTCACCCAGCTGTTACTCTGAGAGTTCAGCCAAGATTATTTCCAGCTCTTGCTTTTCCCGAGGTAGCCAATATACTTTTGGCTGATTACTCCAGAAAAAGCAAACATAACATTTCGGGATTTGTTTATTGTTATGACGTTATTCAGTATGTTGCCCATGCTTTATTCTAAATCTATGCTATACATATTGAAAATAATATTAAACTCAAGAGTCACTGATGTTCCTGTATATTAATGATCTTCAATAATCAGCAGATCATACCAAAACATATGTATGTGATCATACAAATTCGCCAATTATAATTGCCATCATAGTATATATAGTATAGTAGTTGGATTCTGAAGTAAAAGTCAACAACAAAATGCTTTTTTATAGTTGTCTCATCACATTACGGAAGGAGGAAGTATTTTAAAACAAAAAAATTACCCACTTCACTTTAGAAGGAAAGAAATGTTATGCATGGGGAAACATCCACCACCTGACTCCTGTAGCTGTGTTATCAGATCTCGTTTAGACTGACCTTATGCATGTCTTGCATGTTAATGTAGATAGTGTAAATTCCACTCCTGTTAAATCCAGCCCGGAAGAGTTCCGCACAGTCTCTGTATTTTTTCTGTTCATCCATTTGTTTGAAAACTTTTGGACAACAAGCATGGATATAAAAAGTAAAGACTGCATTCAGTGTTTGCTTATACTGAAAGAAAAAACATAATGGTTTGTAAGCTATTGTGAGTAATTCTAACCCCAAATACTTATTGTAACAGCTTTGTGGATGTAAAAATTAGACCTTTGCTCCAATCACAGTGTTTGGGCTACCAACTGAATTCTAAAAAGCTTAAGTGAATGAATCCATCTCTATAACGTGACTTGCTCTAAGTGCTCAGCCTCATATACTGTATCAGTATATGGAGGTTGAAGTGGGACGTGGGAAGTGTGAGGCTCTGTGACATTTCACACAATGTTTCAGATCCAAGTAAAACTTGGCAGCAAAATGGGATATTTATGGTCTGCAGCACCCCTGATGTGAGCCAGTCACATTTGAATTCTAAATGATGTAAAGCAGAGAGATTTTAAGAAATTAATCATGGGACTTGATAAAACTGTCAGTGCAGTGTAATATAATGTTCCCTCACAAATGAGGGAATTAATTAATACGTTGTGGGAACAAATTCTAAATTGATTATCCATGACATCTTGTATTTTTTCCCTGTCATGTGCATATATAACTTCATCTACAATTTGTTTACCTTTGTTCTTGGGGCACATTTTAAGCAGATTATTGATGGTACTATGCAGTTGTAGTTGCTCACGGTAGAGGGCACTGTTGTTGGTGATGACCTGCTCTAGATTATGTTCCAGGCTCTGTATTGAAGAACTCTGGGATACCAGGAGTCTCTGGAGCTTTGTCCGCTCACTCTTTATCCAACCCAGCTCTGCACGATGGCGTGCCTCCATGTTATGCATACGCTGCTCTAGGGCGCTGAACACAGACATGAATTGGACAAGAATTATCAGAAAACAACAAGAACAAAAAAAAAGTGTAAGTGAAAGCTGTGTCAAGGACAGTGCCAAAAAAGTGTCATTGAAAGACACTCTACTCTGTTTTGTCCCGAAGTTGGTTGATCTCACTGGTTTGCCGGAGCAGTTTGTTCTCAAGTTTGATGGAGGACAAGGAGTTTTCCAATGACTGAATCTCCAGTCTTGAAGTCTGATTCAAAACCTGTTATATAATGACATACTAGTTGTGTTATTGTCATATTATCATACCTTTCAGCTTCATAAGTCTCTGTAGCCATCAACACACTGCAAAAGGGTGTTTCTTATTAAGTAAATTCATGATTTTCCAAGAATACTTGGCCAATATTAGCATGCTATGATGAAGGCCTTTGGACATTTTGGATATGAATTCACACCTGTGTCTCCATGTCTGTTAGTCTCCTGATGTGTTGGGTGGACTGGGAATGCAGTTTGGTGCCAAGATCCAGCATGGCTGTCATTTCACTATGTAAAGCATTATTCCGCAGGTGTGTTGTGTCTTCTGTCAGACTCTCTTTTACAAAGACCTCAATCTGTATGCAAACACACAGGCAGAGAGAAAGAGTGACTGGGAGCATAACATTATTCATTATGGTCTTTATCCATAGTCACATACTGTACATTATTTTGAAATACTTGCAGCTGTACTTTTTGGGGCATTGTGCAGGATTGAATCAGTCTGGTCTTGAGCAGCTACATACACCCTGAATGAGACAATATTTATTATATTTTATTGTAAATTTTCTCATATTAAAGTGTGGGAACCAAAGAGAGAAAAACAATGAGGAATCTTAACCGTAATTCCTCAAACACCCAAAGTATCATTAGTAATGTCTTTTTGTGAAATGCTTTTAAATATGAGGACCACTACTTTATTTTTTAGATGAAATGGGTATAAAAACTCCATTGAACGAGGATTATTTCCTATAAACTAGTTAAAATAACAAAACAGCTGCGAGACAAAACACAAAACACCTGTAAAAATCCATATGTGACCCTGGGTCACAAAACCAGTCATAAGTAGCACAGGTATATTTGTAGCAATAGCCAACAAATACATTGTATGGATAAAAATTATAAATGTTTCTTTTATGCCAAAAATCATTAGGATATTAAGTAAATATCATGTTCCATGAAGATATTTTGTAAATTTCCTACTGTGAATATATGAAAACTTAATTTTTGACTAGTAATATGCATTGCTAACAACTTCATTTGGACAACTTTAAAGGCGATTTTCTCAATAATTTGATTTATTTTTTTTGCACCCTCAGATTCCAGATTTTCAAATAGTTGTATCTCGGCCAAATATTGTCCTATCCTAACATGAACCTTGCTTTGTGTACATGAACACTGTCATATAGGGATAGGAAGGCTACACTCCAGTCTACTAAAAATGTCATGTAAATTTCACTGCTGTTTGCTTGATTTTGTGCACCTGCCAGTAATGGTTGTAGCAGAAACAAATACCACTATATAATATTTTATCCAAGCAAAGCACCAGTTATAAATTTAACATATCAACAAATGTAATGATATTATGACACTTCTGCTTACTCTACAGTATCACAACAAAGATTATTTGAACACATCCCACAGAGCACCGCTTCAGGACTGGCACATTCTCTGGGTTGCTTATCAGCACTTTGTACAGTGTTTACAGGAAGAGATATTTTCAGCTGCTCTCAGTGAGATGGAGTCCAAGATGTATAAATACTCGCTGCATTGAAGTGATAGCTGTATGTCCTCTGGGCCTGGAGTGTATAACACTCAGATGAAGTGTTGAAACAGGATGTGTTTATCTAGTGTCCTGCATCCTAGTAAGACTGTGCTAGCTGGACCAAACAGCCACAGGTAGGGATTAAACAAGTCACAATCTTCTTTCAGTGGTAAGAGAACAGGCTGTGATTTACAGACGGTGTAGACAAAAATACTTTTCAATAGGTCAAGATAATACAGACTCAGAAGCATTAGTGTATTATCTGAGGTAAATTATCTTAAATTATGTTTAGGGATGGTGATGCTGATGGAAATGACATTTTTTTACATATAGTACAATATAACAATAAAATGGCCAACTTTTTTGTTAAAGGCTAATTCATATTTAGCATTTAATGTGTCCTAAATATGCACAATTAAATACAATTTTACTATTAATTTGAAAATAGTTTGATTCTGAATGAAGCACAATACAAAAAGTTTCTGCTCACAAGTAATATTTAAGTCTTATATTTCATCTTAAGCATGCTGCTCAGTGATGCTGTTGTCTCCTTAGACAAAAGCATAAAAAACCACTACTTGTTTTGGTTTTTATGTTAAATGGAGAAAAAATGGTTTGGTAGAAATGACATCATCACTTTTTTGGTTTGTTTGTTTGTTTGATTGTTTAATTTTTTACATTTTACAATATATTATATATTTACAAAATATATATTTAAATGGTTTAGATTATTAAACATAATTAATAGTTTTATTAAGAATTTTTATAGACTAAGATTAAAAGTCTGAATAGTTAAAACACTAAAATATATAAATAAAGGTCATTTGAAAAGTATTTAAAATAAATAATTCAAATGGTGTACAAATCAGTTTTTAAAAAACGCAGTGAAGTACATTGATCGAAGAGTCTTAAGAGATTCATATAATGGAACATCAAGTGGATTTGTTTCCGACCAAAATACATGCACATGTTGGCATACAATGGAAGTATTAAAGTTTATTTCCTTTTTTCCATTAATCACCAGTCATTAGTCTGAAGGGACATATTTCCATATTTGTTATAAAACTGGATATTTGCTGCAGTGTTTCAATCTTCAGTCCTCTGATTTCACGTAGAACATTGTCCCTAAGGGATGGTTGAAAGCCCACATATCCTCACTACTGGCTGGTTTGGCTCACTGGAATTTGAAATGGTGACAGAGGGTGTTTTCTTAGGGACAGATCAAATCTCCCCCATCGGCCCAGAAGCACACAACCCTGCCTCATTGGGGCGCCCACTCACTTCTCACTCAGCTCTGACAAAGCGCTTGACCGATAGGACTACCTAAAATACATTTTGAAGGTGTGGAAAGAGCCATGTCAGTTTGAAATCAAGAGGGAATACAGCACTCCAGTTGTGCATATGGCAATGGGAAGCACATTCTCATTGGTCAACAGATGCCCTACAACCAGGGGCACCGTAAGGGGGGGGGGGGGTTGGGGGGATTCAAGGGG